TGACATGTAGGCCAGCAATTGGGCCACATCCTCCAGTGTGGGTGTAAATTCCCCCTATTTCGCAACAAAGGTGTGTGTTGCACTACACCACCTTAACAACAGTAACTCTAGTCCTGGACCATCGCGGCGCACCTTCAACTTGTGAAATAGACGCATGGCTTGCACGACTCGTACTTGACGCAGCCACTGTACGTACATCTTATGACTAAATATGTGCTCTGACCATTCCTCCTACCCAGCACATGGGCCAACTAGAGCCTTGAATTCCATAAAACAGTAGGGATACATCCCTTATTCAATGGTAAGCCGGTGCACGCAGTCCGCCAACGGCAGAGCCCTTTCTTCCACGGTGACCTCTTCTTCCATCAACTAGGCCACCCCACTATCAATCTCGTCTCTCATCATGTCCCTAGAAGATGTCCAGAATCTATGCACTGGCCCAAAGAACGGAGCTCTCTTCCACTTTTCCTCCGATTTTACTCAACTGTTTCCTTTTTATCATTTTGTCAAGCACCCTCACTGCTTCTGCAATCAAACTCTCTATTACTCTCACACGAATGCATACCCTCACTGCAATTCGTCACTCTCTAGCCCTTTTACACTGTCTTCTCTTGCACTCTCTGTTTACAACATTCCTCTCTTTCCTCCATGCCCGACTCCTTATATAGGCCACAGTTAGGGCTTTGGAGTAGACGAAGAAATTGAACGGTTGTGCCCACCAACCACCCCCTCATTAATTACTTAACCGACAGCAGCCAAAAAGGCATCGGTTTCCAAAACATCAATCAATACGCCTTTATGCACGCGCCGCTTTGTTCTTTTCTTTCAAAATTCAAAAACGCCACATGCAGGGGGACTAAATGTGGATGTGGTTTAGCCACGTCACCAAGGGTCAAGTCAAGAAGACCCTACTACGATGCTATCTTTAAGCAAGAAGACAAACAGTCAACACTTGAGATAAAATCCACCTCAGCAAGACAAGTAATAGTCGACCACTGGGCCTCGAATATTGTCCCAACATTCGGTCAATGGGCCTTGAACCTCGATCCGACCTCTTCACGAACAGTCAATCGACGGCCTTGAACCTCAATCCGACCTCTTCACGAACCATCGATCGATAGGCCTTGAACCTCGATTCGACCTTTTCGTAAACTGTCGATCGACGGGCCTTGACCCTCGATCCGATATAACCCCATTCTGAACAATGAAGAGTTATGGTAGGACACTTCAAGTGACCATGGCTTGCAGAAGGGATTTTGGAATGGAGGATAGAAAATTAGTAATGTCTTGCCCACTAAGGCAAGGCCCAGTTTAAGGATAAGAGCAAAAGATAGCTAGAGTAGTACAATTGCCTTTACAGCTTGCTATTTTTGGATTACTCAACAAGAGTGGTACACTTGGCAGCAGCTCCAGAAATATTAGAATTAGGGCAACATAGCCCAAAGAGGCATGACCCTGACCCGTCCTCAACATGGAAGCCCAACAGTGTACCACCTGAATGACCTAAGGTTATAAAAGGAGGCAGTGACAAAAAAAAGAGGACAGAGAATTGACGGCGGCTTCTTCCCTACATTGCTCAAAATTCTCTCGCTGAACTGACTTTCTCTCCCTTCTTCCACCCTTATGCATTCCTCATATTATTTAGTGGTCTATTCTCAGACTCCTTTGACTTTTCTAAAATCAACGAGAAATAGGTATCTACAGGGTGTGTACTAGTTCGTGAAGAGATCACCGTGCGTCAACGAACTTGGTTTGCGGTTGAAATTGTGTTGTGGATATTTTTCTTAATCGACGACCATTTCTTGACTGTCGGCGAGGAGTTGTTGTCATCATTGTGCCTTCGTCGTGAACCAGTGTGCAGATTTGAAGTTTACAGAGATTGACTGTATTGTGTAACCCACCGACGACCTCTCCGTTTGCTGACATCAGTGGCTGTCGTGTGTAGTCACCGTTGTGACTGATTTTGTTGTCAGTGGCTTCGTTTGAAACTGAGTGTGGTTCTTTGCTGTAGCCAAGAGATTTGCAGAGGCTTCACCGCTGTCCCTTGGCTATTAATTGACTTATGGTGGTCTTGATTCTCCATTCTGGACCTCGAATCCTTATTTTTTTGTTGTCGGCAGCAGATTGTGGTCCTCACCGGCTTTGACAGTGAAGAAGAAGAGCGGTGTTTGGCTACCGATGTGGAGCTATCCCAACCTTGGTTTACTAAAACCAGGTTTGCATAGATCTGGTTCTAATTCAACCCGTTTCTGTAGACCGAAGAACGGTGTTTGGCTACGGATGTGAAACTATCCCAACCTTGGTTTACAAAAACCGGTTTTCAGAGATCCGGTTCTAAATCGACCCGAACTTCACTTCCTGATGGCCATACCCAAGTTATAAAGTTCTATATCTTTCACTCAATAGCATAAATGGCTACCTCATTCCCAAATTTACACACCAATATTCCAATTATCAATGATAAGAAAATGGGTTTATGAAATTACTCCCCAAAATCTTATATTTTTATGATTTTCAGACTCTTTCCTGCTTTGAATGTATATATAAGGAATGTGTATATATATATATATATATATATATAATGGTGAATATAATAGACTTTAACGGTTATAAGGGTATATGTGATATTATGTATTTTTACTAAGGCACATGAGTCACGTGCCATTACTCAACGTTAACAATCAGATGGTCAACTAACGGATTTTTATTTTTTGCAACAAATAGGATAGTTTAGGGGGTTAAATGTATTCCTTAAAGTTTAGGAGGGTTTTCTGGAAAAGAGAAGAAAGTACAGGGGGTTTAGTGCACTTTACCCTATTTGCTATTAACCTCATGATGAAAATTTTTAAATCATAATAATTAATGAGTTATCAAATTAACAAGGACAACAATCCATATTAAAAAAAAAAAAATTAGTGAGAAAACCACATAGAGATGGTCTTATTACTATGGATGGAGCCGTAGAGAGTGAAGAACGAGAGAGGAAGCTAAAAGGAAATCTTAAGTGATTATCATAAATGAGAATGTGGCATAATTAGGTTTTTTTTTTTTTTTTCTGGAGGCAGAGAGAGAAACCATCATTCAAATTTTCCTTTGAAAGCGAATTTTCTTTTTCTTGAAACGTTCTTAGATTTCCTTTTAGAAAAGCTTTCTTTTTGCTTAAACATAGTGTGTAGATGTGTATATTATATATATATATATATATATATATATATATATATATATTCTTATGTATATATATAATTAACTATGGAGAGAAGAATACGTAACTTATTCTTATGTGTTTGTATGAAACTATAATTTATAATATTATAACTTCAAAATTATGATTATATTTGTATCTCTTCTGTATAGTTAGGGTTTGGGATTACGGAAAGTTAATGAAGATAATTTTTTTTTTTTTTTAAATGACAAATATGTATTAAAACTTAATTTTAGTTAGTATTTTTGCTTATTACATTTGCACAAATCAGAGAGAGAGAGAGTATGGATGGGGGGCAAATACTATCATCTAAGAAATATGGACATGGATATGGACCGTTTATGTCCTAGGGTAATATCATTTTCTATTAACCTCAAGATGAAAATTTTTAAATCATAATAATTAATGAGTTATCAAATTAACAAGGACAACAATTCATATTAAGATTTTAAAAAAAAAAAAATTAAAAAAAAAATTAGTGAGAAAACCAGAGAGAGATAGTCTTATTACTATGGATGGAGCCGTAGAGAGTGAAGAACGAGAGAGGAAGCCAAAAGGAAATCTTAAGTGATTTTATCATAAATGAGAATGTGACATAATTAGTTAGTTTTTTTTTTTTTTTTTTTTTTGGGGGGGGGCAGAGAGCGAAACCCTCATTCAAATTTTATTTTGAAAGTGAATTTTCTTTTTCTTGAATCGTTCTTAGATTTCCTTTTAGAAAGCTGTCTTTTTCTTAAACATAGTGTGTAATTGTGTATATTATATATATATATATATGGAAGCACATGTATAATTAACTACGGAGAGAAGAATACATAAGATTCTTATGTGCTAGTATGAAACTATAATTTATAATATTATAACTTCAAAATTATGATTATATTTGTATCTCCTCTACATAGTTAGGGTTAGGGTTTGGGATTACGGAAAGTTATACAAGCAAATTTAGTGGACAATTGCCTGATGCATTGTAAAGCACTACTTTGAAGCCTCTGATGACTATGGTAAAGGGCTATGGATCTTTTTACTTTTGAAAAGAGAATTCTGAGAGAGAAAAACTAGCCTAAGAATGAGGAGATAATGACTAGTGGAGAAATATTATTTGTGATATAATCTTGAAATGTTTTTGCACATGCAGCTCATATTAGAAAGAGAAAAAGCAGTGTTACACATCTTGAATTAAAAATCTTATAAGTAAATTATGTAAATTAAGTTCTTATTCACCATAAAAAAAATCACATGGTAAAAATTTGTAATTTAATAGGAGTCTCCCAAATGAAAATATATATTGACAATATTGAACTCAAGTTATTAAGTTATATTACTGTTTGAATTTCATTATTATAAGTTTTTTTTTTTCTACCCTTGATCTTTTCTATATTAAAAAATTAGTTTAAACACACAAAGCAGACAAATAAAAATACATGAAGTATAGCAAAAGACACCAAACAAAAATCGTTACTGATATTTTATTTTTTAAATTTTATTTTATACTATAAAGGTATAAGAAATGGAAAAAAAGAGAAGATAGAACAAACCAACCTGCAGCGCACACTGTTACACCCTAGGGTTTTCTCAACATAGAATCTGCAATTGGGACACCGAATCCACCTCTTCTCCTCAGCAAGCTGCTTAAACCTAATACCAGCCTCTTCTCTCTCATCCTTGTCCATTTTCTGAAAATCCGCGCATTCCATATTCCAATGCCAAGACACCTTACAATCTTCACAAAACAACCTGCTACAATTGGGACACTCTACCTGGCTCGTAACCCCTCCGCCTTCTTGGTCATCATCAATCAAAAGCGCAGAGCAATCCGTGTAGGGACAGTATAATTTCTCCGATCCAGGAATGACCGCCTCGCAGAAAGATTTTCCCAGCTATCAAACAGCTCCGGTGGCAAAATGGTTCGGCAATGCTCCGGCTCCAAAAGTCCTCCACACCCCGAAACAGGGCATCGAATCTGCGGAATGTTTTCTTGTAGCTTTGAAGCCACGTATTTGATGATACAGTCGGAACAGTAAGTGTGTGTACAACCAATAATGTGAAAAAAATCGAGGTATGACTTTGGCTCAACACAAATTTCACATGTAAAGGATAGAGGGTCAATTTCATCACAAGACTCCCCTGTTTCGGTAAGTTTTCTTCTCTTCGGAGTTGGGTTTTTGAGAGAGGCGATGATTGCGAGCTGGAGGTCTCTGTCCTCCTCGGAGTACTGTTCATAATATGGCGGTGATATATCATCGTCATCCTCATCGGCGATGTTCTCCTCAGTTGGTGATTGAGGTGTCACCGTCGGTTTGCTTTCTTCTTCTTCTTCTTGGTGTTGTTCATGGTGGCTTTCTGGCTCTGGTGTCGTGCCATCACTGTCCCGATTCGCTGTATGACTTTGGTCACTGTCTTCATCAGAGTATTGGCTGTAATCAGATAGCTGTGATATATCGTCAAAGATGTTCTCCTCAGTTGGTGATTGAGGTGTCACCGTCGGTTTGCTTTCTTCTTCTTCGTGTTGTTCATGGTGGCTTTCTGGCTCTGGTGTCGTACCATCACTGTCGCGATTCGCTGTTTTTCTTTTTCTCATCTACTCCTCTGTGTTTTTTTTTTTTCCTTCCCTCTTTGTGATTTTTTTTTTTTTTTTGCTTATGGAATTCAGGAAAAGCGAAAACCTCAATTTCCTATTAGAGGGGTCTTTTTATTCTCAGCCGAAAAACAATTGGGCCTCTCCGAATGGAAACGAATTCAGAAAGTGAGTGAAAAACAGCCTTTTGTTAGATGTCTATTGGTATGTGAATTAGGGTCATTCATATTTCAGGAAAATAAATAGTAATAATAATAAATAAATAAATAAATAAAATTTGTAAGATGGAAATCAATGAAATTTACCATAAAATATATGGCATTTTTGTAAATTTACAAAACTTTTTCAACAAGTATTAAAAAATTTAAGCGTAAACTATAATAACCTCATCTAAAGTCTGAGTTAATTACAAATAAATCCGAGATTGCCATTTTGTTGCAAGTACTTCCTCGTGTAAGATTTTAATGTAAATTTACTTATCTACTCTTATTATTATATTATTTGAAAGGATCAAGTATTTGACTATATTAAATTACCAAATTACCCGCATAAAAAAATTTTACTCAACCCACACCCCCACCTCCTCCCACCACTGTCACTGACCACAATCCCCATCACCGCCACACCAACAATTTTACTCAACCCACACCCCCACCTCCTCCCACCACTGTCACTGACCACAATCCCCATCACCGCCACACCAACAGCCGTCGAATGGGATCCTTCCACAGTCGCACTCCTTATTGGTAGGATTCTTAGAATTACAAGTTAGTTAATTAAATATCTCCTACCATAATGGGACATTTAAAATATAAATTTATAAGCCAAAAGTGTCCTTTTAATTATTTTTTCTCTCCTAAGTTGATCCATATATATATATATATATATATATAAATACGCGTGTGTGTATATCAATAACATTTTAATTATAGATTATGATTTGATTTTTTTTATTTATTTATGGATACTTTTATTTCTTTTTTTAATTGTCTTTTAAATATATACGGAGTGTGTATATAATTACTATATATGGTTTAAAAAAATACTTTATATATATCATCTAATCTTTGCTAATCAATATCTCTCTATTATGAATCTATATATAGTACTATATTTATATAATATATACTGTATATACGAAAGCCACTGTTTGTATAATTTGATACTCAATCTATATATATATATACAAAAGGAAAAGCTGTTATTTGTCCTATAAATTTAATTTAAATGTCGCATAATGGTAAGGGACATTTAATTAATTAGCTTGTAATTTTAGAAATCTTGACTGATTAAAGGTGCGACTGTGCAATAATAGTCGTATTTGCGATTGTAATTAGCACTCCTTCTTTTATATTTATAACAATCTATATTTAAAAAAAAAAAAAAAAAAATTTGACTCCGTCTCTGCTCAAAATTACAAGCATTTCGAAACACAACTCACCCTTATTATATATAACCTTCTAAAAATAAAAACACTTGACATTAGTATATTTATTCTATTTCTCATCTCTCTCCTTCTGTATATCTACCACTCTATTTTTTTCACCTCTTACACCCCCACCCTCTAACCACACCGCCAACACCACCCTCCAACCACCATATTTATACATGCACATACATCTATTGGTGTCATCGAAAAAAACAACCTGTGTCTAATTTTTTGATTGAATTGAACCGTGTAACAATCCAATGTACTTGCACTATTTCTTCACTCTTTTCACACTTTTTCTCATTCTTTCAAAATTATCCTCACTTATTATTATATTTGACCAATTCTGAACTCCTATTTGTGGGTTAATAAGAAAGTAATTAATATTATTTTTTTATATTTGTAGTCTTTCCCCATCTATAAGTCGCATAAGTAATCCCAGGTAAAAGTAAGGATGCAATCAGGGTAGGTTGGACGAGTTTGAGATATAATTTGAATCCAACTCATTATATAAATGTTAAATCAAAGCCCAATCCAACCCTATCTTCAACCCTAATTATTCAACTCGAGCCCAACCCATCCTTCTACTTTTAAATTCAGACTTGCAACTCGGGTTTAGATTTCATGTTAAAAATTGAGGTAAATTCGAGTTACTTTATAACTAATCTTCACATCAAAATTTTAATATGACCTTGAGTTAGCTTTAGATTAAATTACTCTTAAACTAAAAAAAAAAAAATTTAAAACATTTTATAAATTTTGAATAAATTACAAACAAATTCTTAAAAAATTAATTATCTTAAATCTTAACATACAATAAGTTAAGATTTAACAAATGAAGTTGAAAGAAAAAAGGTAATCGGAATTTAAATATTATATATAATATATTCAAAATTAAATATATATATGAAAATAATATTAGAATTTGGGTTCGAGTTTATTCGGGTTGCTAGTATCTCAATCCAAACCCAACCCTAATTAAATTTGTGTTGAGATTTTTCAACCCAAACTCAACACTATTTGTAAAAATAATTGTCTAAATCCACAAAAAATCGAGCGGGCTCAAGTTGGGTTCGGGTTAACCCAAGTTGCACCTCTAGGTAAAAGTAGGAGAAGCAATTCGTGTTCGCGGGTCGTAATTATGTCGTGTCAACTTAAGGATATTATACTAAACAGCTCAACCCAAATACGACCCGTTTAATAATCGTGTCAAGATCTCTCAATACTAACCTGACCTGTTTATTAAACGAGTTACACGTGTAACCCGTTTAATGACCTATTTACAAAAAAAAAAAATTTATATTATTTAAATTATTAATAATACTCAATAAAATAATAAATACTAAAAAAATATAAGTTTTAATCAACCAAATTAACACAACACGATTAATTAAACGGGTTAATCGTGTCGACCCGTTTATGATCTGAACTCGTTGAAGGTCAACCCAAACCCGTTTAACTCGTGTCGTGTTCGAATCGTGCTGACGAGTCGTGTTAACTTTTGTCACCCCTAAGTAAAAGACTTTGATCTTCGTCATATGTTAGTCTCATTATTTATTTTTACCATCACTCATTTTAGTAAACATGTTTTTTGTGCACTCCCCACACATGCATATGGAGTTTATGTGTACCTACAAATTTGGAGTCAAAACTAAAACAAATTATTCAACTTTATTATTATTTTTAATCAATCATCTTGATATTTTTAATAATTATATATATATATATATATATATATATATATATATATATATATATATATCACTTATGACAGTTAATTATCACGTATCAGTACTATATACAAGACTTATAATAATTATCTTATATTAGTGCAGTTGATTTATTTTCAAATGAGTCCCGAAATTTGGTTTGACTCATTAGCCCACATTTTAGATTGTGTGAAATTGCAATTTGAATACTTGAACGACCAATGAAAACTCATTAGCCCTCATTTTAGATTGCGTGAAATTGCAATTTGAATACTTTAATGACCAATGAAAGAATAGATTAGACGCAAAGAACAAAGGTATATAATTAATATACCTTAATCATTTAAAAGTCCACACCCCTTACTCACACAAGTCATTGTTGAGTGTGCGCAGCGGAATGGTTGTGGAATATAATATGGATAGATAACTTAGAGGATGGTAAATATATTTAACTTACTCTTTTATCCAATTTTTACTTATTTTAATTTTACCGAAATAAAACTAAAATCAAATCACAAAGCAAAAATAAAGTACAAGTAAATAGAGCTTGAGGGATGACACCAGGATTTTATCGAGGAAACTCTAATTGGTAGAGTAGACCAATTGTAACAGGAAAAATCTCGTTGGACTCTGCAGTCCTGAGATAAACGATCCACTATGCTTGAAGCAAAGTATACCAAACTTTGACTCAGTCTCACACCCTATCGTTCTACCAAAAACCAATTGCTGACAATCCCTGGTTTTGCGACTCCCTCGTCCAACAGCTCTCGACCTCAAGCTTACTCTCGATCTCTGTAGAAGAGTTACAAGTAAATCAGACAACACTCCACGAATGTTCTGACTCCTTCAAAGTGTGATCACTTCACCCCTTTTTCTTCTAGATCTGAATTTGATGAAGAATGAATGAATTCTGCTTTTCCAGAATTTCTGAATCTTCGATTATGCTTCAATTCCGATGAGATAGAGAACAACACTCCTAAATTACTCTAGTGTTTATGTGTGTACTCTCAAAAATAAAATCAGAAAAATCAGATTGATTTTCTGAATAAATATATATATCTCAAAAGGCTCTCAAGTAGATCTGAATTTTTTTATGCAAAAGCCACACATAAACCTATGTGTATGACAAAGTTTATATAGAGTTTAGAATGTCTTAATCCCTCTGAAAATATAGAAAATTTCGTGCATAAGATTTGGTACAGTTCTAAACCAAATAGGAAAGAAATTAGAAATAGGAAACTAGAATTGTAACCTGAACAGGACTTCTTAAACCGGTTCAAGGGTGCTGAATCGGTTTAAGATTGGCAGAAAGATTTCGAAGCCAATCTTGAAGGCCTTGAACTAGTTCACTGTAGCTGAACCGGTTCAAGTCTAGTAGACTTGAATTTTCAGGCTGAACTTGGTAAAAATCCTGTTTTGGAAATTTTTGAAAATATACCAAGTATGGAATGTGTCCTAACCTTTTTAGATTCCTTTCTAAAGTGTTATTCTTACCTTTTTCTCGAATGAACTCGGTCATGGTAACTTTGAACAACCTTCCACTTCCGCAGTTGCTGTCAATCCCAATATAGTAACTTGAATTACAGCTCGACTAGGACTTATTTTGACACCGAAAGTTGCCAATTATAGAATATATATTTTTCACAATCTTCCTAAAATATATATATATATCTCACATTTTCCCCCTTTAGCAATTTCGTGACAAAACCCTAAAAGCAACATGTAATCTACCCAAATAGAAAAAACAAATTACAATAAATTGTCAAAGAAATACAACGGAACTCTTCTTGAACATCATGAAGCTTCAACACATGTAGCAACCTGTAATCTGCAAATTAGCTCAACAAAACTACCCGTGAAGCTTA